TGCCATCCTAATTACAGACCTCTCTGTATGTTGGACACAGCTGGGAAAGTCCTTAAGAAGTCAATTTGTTCCAGACTGAATTCAGGTGTGGTCACTTCAGAGAACCAGTCTTCTGGTCAGTATGGCATTAGGAAGGGGGGCAGTGAATGGTCGACACTATTAAGGAGCTAAAGCGAGCTGTAATGAGAGCTGGGGATTTTCATTGTAGGTGTTAGCCTCCGGATTGCAAAATAATATTTAAAAAGTTCAAATACCTGCTATTAAGCAGTCCAACGTTGTTGTTTAAACACAAATAGTTGCGTGGCACCATCATCAGGCTGTACAAGGACGGTTTTCTTTCTTCATACGAAGAGCGTCATATTGTTTACACAAAAATAGTAAATAGGCTAGACATTTAAACATGACACAAACACGAATACGAGACATTTATGGTAACTGATCAGTTAAGAAAACAGACGATGCCAGAAGACTCAAATTCCGCCGGGTTAGCGTCGTCTGTTTTCTAAACTGATCAATTACCATAAATGTCTCGTATTCGTGTTTGTGTCCTGTTTGAATGTCTATTTATTATTTTTGTGTAAACAATACGACGCTCTTTGTATGAAGAAAGAAAACCGTCCTTGTTCAGCCTGAAGATGGGTGCCACACAGGCACCGAAACTAGTTGTGTTTACAACAACGTTGGATTGCTTAATAGCTGAGGATTTTAACCAACACTCTTGTCAAGTTGTACTGCTCGTAACACTTGAAATGCAAAACTCATTTAATTCTGTTAGGTGGTATGATATGCTAGACTCTCTGGAGAACACGACCTCCCAAGACCCGGCGTCTGATGCTCGCATAATAGAATACGGTACTAACTCCGGTTCTGCCTCCTCATTAATGACATTCCGGAAGGCATCCAGATAATGTGTGTCCACCACTCCTTGTGCCGCTCAAGGATCCATACTTGGCCCGGACCTCTGGAACATAGCCTACAAAAGCCGCCTGAGGTCTAAGATGCCTGCAGAAACTGTCTTAGTTGGGTACAGAAATGACAGTGCGCCTTTAATAGCTGTACGTAGCATTCAGCTGGCCCAGGTAAAACTGAAACCAAGTAGGCTAATGCGCACCATCAACGCATGGATGGCAGACAACGATTTCTCACTCGCTCAGAGTAAAACTGAGATTGTGATTCTGACCAAAAATATTATTGATACTAACCATTATGCCGTTGAAGGTGGGGAACATTGAAGATCAAAACATTTGTGCACCAAACACCTTTGGGTCATGTTGGTCAATAAGCTTAGCTGGCAGGACCAGATCCTCCATATGGCAGAAAAGGCCGCTAAAGTGGTTTTTTCCCTTAGTCGGTTTTAATAGCGAATGTCGAAGGCCAACGGTCCAGTCACAGGACTGTTGATGTCTCTGCGAGGTCCAATCTGTACTCCTTATGGTGCTGATGTGTGGGCAGACACACTCATTAAGGAGGTAGGCTGTACATGATGCAGCTTGGCCGTGTGCAGAGTCAGGCAGCACTCAGGGTAGCATCCCCCTACCTAATATTTAGTGTCCAAATCCACTGTTCAAAGAGAGAAGTGCACCCACACCTATTGCCTTTGGTAGGATAGCTGGGAACAGGAGACACGAGGAAACTGGACTAGGCCAGTCTACAGCAAGTCCAGCCTTGGGTCAATCAGCGGTACGGAGAGGTCTAGATTATCACCTTCCGATTCCTAACAGGACACAGATTTTTCCAGTTCTACCAGTGATGGGTAGAGCCGTGTCACCCAATTGCATCTACTGCCCAAGCACTCCTGACGACGCTTAAAACACCTTTTTTCACTGCTCCCGTTGAGAAAGGCCCTACCTTGAAGCGAAAAACAATGAAGGCATACAGTAGTAGGTACTTCTGTTGGTGGACATGGTCATCTCGATGATGATGGAGGGTAAGGACAAGTAGACCTGTGTGTCCCATTTGGTCCAGGGTATTATCCGTTCCAAGACCAAGATCAAGGCGGTTTAGGTCATAAAAAGTGTGAATGCCAGAAACGTTGGGAGCCTAGCCCTTAGGTCACACGTTGGTCTTGACTTAAATAAAGAAATGTGACAACAACCCCAAGTCTCTGTCCAACAGAGTAGAGGGTTTTTTTAGTAAGTAGTCTGATCCATTCAGGTGTCTCACACTATACACGCGTGCCACCTGTGTGCGTGAAAGCATTTTCCCTCACTCTCAAAAAAGTAAATAAGAAACACTTTTTACCGACTAGCCTATTTAGTTGGGTCAAAGGAGTAGGGGTCAAGTAAGTTAATATTATTTGTAAGTATGATTTAGGCTTATAAAACTAACTTATCAGGGTCACAAACATACGTAACTTACAAGGTTATCATCACAAACTGTGGATCATGGCTTGTAGGTCTCGGCTGCTTAAAGGGTTGATGATCAACATAAGCTTTTAAAATATCTTCGGCAATATTTCCAATTTATTTCACCAGCAACAACATGATTAGTACCTGTTCTGTTCAGGAGAAATAGCCTAGGCCCACCTACAATCTAACTTCTTAGGCTAAAACTGTTGAAAAATTGTAAAATTCTCCTGAAGTTTTTTGTTTATTCACAGTTTGTATCACATAAACTTAAGGCAGAGGATACGCGTCCGGTAACCGGACGTGGATTAGACGTCCGGCAATTACTGTCATAACCTAACCTAACCAACCAAACTTGCTGATAGTGAAAAAATCGAATTAAGGTGAAATTCTTTCTCTATAAAAAAAATTATAAATGCCAAAAATTCTAATAAAAGATGTACAGTTAAGAATAAATGGTATTCAATGCAAACTCTTCGACAAAAAGTTAAAGTCATCAATGGGATTCGAACCCTGGACCTCTTGCATATCAGCCGAGCACCTTATCCACCACACCACGAACACCGATGGCTCGTCATTGTATTGTTGTGGTAAAGGCGTTCCAGGCTCCCGCAACCCCATGACGTCATTGCCGTACGCCTTATCCACGTCCGGTTACCGGACGCGTATCCTCTATGTAAACTTAAATTACACAAATTATTATACCTTTATACCATGTCATTGTCAATAACATTAACATAACAACTTTTGATTTTGAAAACGAAAACTATTTTTAAAAAGTTCTTTGCTGGCTAGCAGAAGCAGACGATTCATATTTCATTTCATACGATAACAATACAAAACAAAACTGAAAGAAAAGAAAACTTACAATTACAATAAGAAAAAAATCTTGTTTATTAAAACAGACCAGTAGAAACCAAATTCCTGAATGTGCTATAATCATAGACCAACCAACATTAGGGAGTATGTTTTATTATACATAAAACTGTTCTATGGTTTTATAAGACTTCCCATCCCATTGTAAACTTTTAAAACTCGTTTTTCGTGGCTAGTTCATGTCCGGTGACACTGGTAACTAGTGTCGACGAAATTTAGTTTCTATTAATTTAGAGTTAATTTCGTGATTTGTGCTTTACTGTTTGGTTATATAACTAGAGGAGGAGCTAAAGTTTATGATTATATCGTTTTATTTGGCCAAACAGGGTTTTAAATTACAAAAATAACAAGAAACAAATTGTAAACAAAAGACGACCTCTACAGAGCACCGGACAGAACAAACGAATAGCGATAAAATTTGCTTCATCCGTTCCATAAGGATGGGAAATCTTAAGGGAGCATGTTTTAAAGTAAAGGGAGTATATTTTATCTATGATTATAATAAATGCCAAGAAATAGATTGTACAGTAATATCATAGATACTGTACCATAGTTAACCATATACTGTATTAGTTATCCAAGGAGAAATTTCAATTTTTCTTTCGAATAATTTATAAATGAGTCAACTTGATTGTAAATAATATACTTTTTTAATGGACTAGGCCATGTTAAAATTATGTACGTATTAATGACTGGCTTTGATCCAATACCGATCAAAAATAATAATAAAAATATATCGCTTACAATACGGCGATTTCAATTACACCATGAAATTCTTAAATCATTTTATAAGAATTCATTTTAAGTTAAAACACTTTTGTTAAAAAAAGAAACAGTTATTGTGAAATGAATGTAAACGGGGGACTTATAAATGTAAATCCAACTTTTGTTGGTGAAAGGTGAAAGATGAAGGAAGATTCTACAAAACGAATAATTGTTTGAGAGTTTTGCTACGAGGTGAAATAAATCCATATATAAAACATACTTCCATAGATAAAACTACTATGATATCCAATAAATTTATGCAAATGTGTGTACAGTATTCCAAACGTACCACCAGCATTACAGTACAGTAAGCTTTTAGAGCCATTCTCAATAAGCAATATGCGCGGATTTTAATTTTATATAATTAACCCATTTTATCCGCCTTTGACCACAGTCACCTTTCTTTGACTGTACAGCAACATGAGATCGTGTAAAAATGCAACTGGCATAGACACTGATACAAGAAAAAATTAGCAAAAGTACTGTACTACCACTATCCGAATCCGACCGGCGACCACATGACGCCATGACGGCCATGTGGGTGGACTGGACTTGGACTTGTGTTTTGTGTTTGTGTTGTTTGTGTAAATGTAAACAAAGTAAACAAGACCATGAACATAACCTCATTCTCATTATTTATCCAATTAGCTCAAATCTGAAGTGTTATAATTTGTATTTGTGATGTCTTTTGCGCTCTTATAGTTTGTATCTAAATATTATTCCTACAGTAGTCAGGTTTTTTTTCACTTGTTGGTGCTCACAGTGTAGTTTTCTTCCACTTTATACAAGTAACTTTGGGGCTTCTTTGTAACTTAGTCTTGATCTGGCTTGATACTGTGAAAGCTATAAAATTATGATATAGGCTAGCTCTATTACCAAAATGATTATTGGGTCTTGAAGGATCTCTATAATTTGTAAATTTGACTAATTAACTTGTTCTGGCGCCCTTCGATGATAGTTCGAACTTATCATTGTGGCTGTAGGTCCCTAGAAATTCATAATATAAGCATGGGAGCAAGCTGGTTTAGTGGTAGAGCACAGGACTTTGATTCCTGAGGCCCCGGGTTCAAATCCCGCCAAATCACCAATGGGTTTTATCTAAGTGATATGTTAATGCTGCAACCCCAGGGCTAGCCTGAAGTAATGTGAAAAACCACCTAGGGCTCATGTCCTTGGCTAGCGTCCTAAGGCAAAACATATATTTACCGGCATGCATTATCTATAAGTTATCTTTCCAAAAATGTTGATTTTGACAACATTTTCACTCCAACATCTAAGTCGTTTAAGGTAAATATAATTTAATATAAGTAATAATAAACTTACCTACTACTGTAAGCTACTTAAATGTTTTATTTGTAGGTAAACATGTCAAGGTGGTTCCCAAAGCTGTGGGAGTTTTAATGGTGACCTTCCGATCAAAACAAGTTGAAAAGCAAACCAAACTTTGATATACGATAGCCTACCTAACCATTGAGTATACTTAGGCCTACTTTTAGACTGATCTCAGTCAAGAATAAATTTTGGAGGAAAATCTTTTTTTTACAATATCGTTAACTTATAAAACTACAATTTGGTTTGTTCAGTCATTTGATGCCAAATTCTCATCATCCAGACAACATGATACGCCTAACTAAAAAATAAGTCTGAATTCATGAGGTAACTTAGCTTTGTTTAGTGTAACATTTCAGGCCTGGATGCATCAAATAAACTAATAACGATTACCACTAGCATTGTTGTAATATAATGCCTAAACCTAATAAGTTAAGTTTTAGAATCAACTTTAAGCTATAGGCTACCTATGTTAATATATTAAGTATAAAAAATATAATTCTATTATGGGGGAGTAGCTATATCTGTGCAGGTATATTGTCTTCTCCATTAGCATTTTATAGTTAAAGGAATCACTTAAACTGTTTAAAGGGTAGCCTACCCTAATTAGTCCAAATCCTACTAGCCTACACATCTTCAATCTTGGTCACTTTAAAAAAACTATAAATACAGCCCAGGCATTATAATATATAATTATAGCATAACTAGTGGCTTATAGGGACATCAGTCCCTAAAAAGCTCAAAATGTAAAACAACTTATTGCAATTCCGGTATTTAAACAAATTTAGAATAACATTATCTACGGTATGTGTCAGGATAGGTATCCCTATGTACGGTACACCATATCTTTTGTGTAAAAACAATTTGTTGTCCGTCTTTGTTTGCTTTATTTGTTGATGTTATTTTCAATAAATAATTCGAATCACTCCAAAGGTTTAACATGAAAAGGCAGCAAACATATCATTGTTTGTGAATAAATACTGGTTCACTAAGGTAGCTTTGGTCTTGTGGTTAATGAGGATACATAAAAACTTCCCTGATTGGAATTTCAGAAATTGTCTTCGTCAAATAAATATGAAAAGGCAAATATAGGTGTTTTGAGATAAGCTTCTTGGCCAATCTCGCCAATTATCCCAGTTATTATTTCTAAGTTTATACTCCTTTTGTTAAGGTTGAACAAAATTAGTGTAAAGTAAAGTCATCTTATTAACCAAACTTAACCCTAGATTTGTTTCTGATCGACATAAAAAAATGTCTGTAAGTTTGCGTGGTGGTATTCCTCCTAAAGGTGCAATTGACTTTATATATGCTATCAAAATAGGCCTGCTGATTCCTACTTATTTTGCGACTGGTTAGGGTTCCATTACCCAGTTAACGAAACCAATCGCGAAATTTCTTTTCATAGGCATCTTTGACATCCATATTTTTGGTTAGTTTTAAGAAACGGAAACTACTTGCCTCTAGGTTTTACTATTACATATTGAAGCTCCCTTTACCACCGTGCATGCTAGGATATTTTATTTGAAACTTAGCCTGGTTACAATATTGTCCAAACAATATTGTTTTTCCGCCCTTTCGAAACTTGCCATAGTACTTACTTAATGAACAAATATATTGCCTGTACGAACCTATTTTAACTTTATTTCCAGGTTGTTTTCTAAGAGTGGCCGTTGAGGTTATTCCACTTCATACATCATTTTGACTAAACAATAAATCTCAAAATAAAAATGCTAGTAAATATAAAAAAAATATTAGAATAAATCTAAAATCTTTAACATAGGTAAAAACAATTAAGAATTTCTCCATTCAATCTTGAATCATTTATTATTTAGTCAATGTTGTTATTTCATGTTAAAAATTTCTTCAACACAACAATAACCTTCAAATTAGAATACAATAGGCCTAACTTATTATTTTTTCTGCAATTCTAAGCTCAATTCCTTCTCCTATGATTCTACTACTCATACGCATAACTAAGTTAGCCTACTTAAAAATACACAAATTTGCAAATTGCACAGTAAAATAATTGATGGTAATTTTTCTGTTAAAGGGAACATTCATTATTATCGATGGTTTTTTTTCGATATATCGATTTACATTACAAATTGACAACTGATCTTGTTTAGGCTAAAAGTCTATTATATGGATTAAGAAATGAAACTGTTGTAAGTTAAGCTAACCTAAAATAACCAACCAAACTTGCTGTACCATTTAAAAATACCGTTTGATAACAGTAAAGGTAAGTAAAACACGGAATTTTTAAATGTTACAGCAAGTTTGGTTAGTTATGTTAGGTTATTTTTTTAGAACAGTTTCATTGTATTATTGTTTGTTGATACTGGACAAAATTTATCGTAGTTGTCAGCTGACATGTTTCAATTTGTTAATATCGATATATTGAAAAAAAATCATCGATAATAATGAATGTTCCCTTTAACAGGAAAGTACCTAATTGATTTCCAAATTCTAAGACGTAACTAAAAAGTCTTAATTATTATAGGAAACGTTAACCCTGGTTTTATATGGTACTAGCTGTACCCGCGGGCTTTGCCCCGCTTAACTTCATAAGTATTCGCATGGCTCAATCACTTCCTGGTTGAAGTTCGTTCGCTACGCTCACTCACCTTCAGGTTGGAAATCGTTCGCTGCGCTCACTTGTTTTCAGGTTAGCTCGTTCGCTACGCTCACTCACCTTTTGGTTGCAAATTAGCTGTTGTCATAAATTTAAAAAAAGTCATCCCTTTAATTGTTTATAATACTTTGATAAAGGTTTTTATGTTTTAATATTTAACATTGGATAATTTAAACGTTGTTCAGTGCACAGGTGTGCTGCGATTGGGGTTTAATACAGTTGGACTTGTTAAAAAGTAAAATAGTTTTCTGTGCTGCACTCTGTAGAAACACTGTGGCACTATTTCAAATCACGACTAATGCTAATACAGAATGTTGTGATTATTCAAACCTACAAAACACAGTTGGTAAAAGTAAACATCTGCTTTTAAATTATATTTATTTGTAAACATTGTAGATCAAAAAGTCTGACATTGGCCCACTTAAAACCCTCTAGGGCAGAGCCCTTTTGACGGATCTGCACCAAACTTCACTCGAACCATCCTTGAAAGATGCTTAACAATGCCTGAAAGTTTCATTACAATCTGTCGAGCGGTTTCGGAGTCCATAACGTATATACACACACACACACACATACATACATAGTTCCTCTTTTATAGATATAGATACAGTACATTGCAGAATTGACTGGCAAATGAGTAATAAAAATGTAATATTGCTTATTTGCTCAGTGATAAATCACAATCAGCTGTATTGAAGTAAACAAAAATCAGTAGTAAATGGCTTATAATGATATTCTTATGGAGAAGATTTTACCTTATATCTTTGACTATTAATACAACAACTTCTGTATCTAATAGTCAATGCTTATATCTAATTTTGTGTTAAAATTTGAGAAATTTCACTATTTTTCCTGCTGTCACGGAGTCGAGACCTTTAATTTGAACCATCTCCCGTCGTTCTACTACTTCCCAGTCGCCCACGATTTTGACGCAATCAATCGGCTTACGTAATTAATATATAGATTAATCTATATATTTAATACACAGTTGTAACACTGTTTTCTCAATAATTACTGGACCGATCTACAAGATTTATGTCTCAAATTAAAGGGGATAGTGTGTAGATTTGCCGAACTTCCTTAGAATTTACGTTTTTTCTAAGGGCTACGACCTACAGCCCTTTAAAGGTCGAGTCAATACAATTCTTATTGAAGAATATAATACACAGTTTATAAATTATTTGTCAGCTGTTTAATGTTTGTCAGAAATTTGTTATTATTTTTATAACCTCACTTTCAGTATGCAATTATTAAACTTGGAGTTTCTATTTGTAAACACACGATTTTGATCAAGGAAAGTGTATTTGTTAACTTATTTTTGAAATGTTTTAGTTTTCCTGCAAAGTGATCTGAAGGGGTAATTGAGTTTAAGTTTGAGTATGGAATGTGAAATAATACCCATAGTAGGGAACGGAAACTTATTGTTTTGATCAATATAATTTATTTTGTACGGCCACCAGAATAATCATGGGGAAATCCGCTTGCAAGTTGTACATATAATTGCTAATGAGTGGGAAACATACAAACATTTTATAGTAGGTGACGAATCTTACTCAAGATCAGTGTTAGACGTTCAGTGGTACCAAACTTTACCTTCTCGAGATGGCGAGTACGCTGGAATACGTGGAACTACAATATATCAGTGAATATGTTTTTCAAGTACACAGGGAAGTTGCTTGAGAAACCGTGACTTACCATTCGGTTCTGGCGAAGAAGTATGTGACGACTTGATGTTTAATGGCAATGTTGACTCGGGTCATTATAGCGTTATAAAACTTTATCCCAGGGTGTGAAAAGTATAAAAAGAAAAAGAAAAGGTAATCATTAACCGGGCGTAAAGAGACATAGGCTACCGAATGAAAAAAAATGTAGAGAACCATCGAACTAAAAAGGTAAAGAGCAGTGTTGGTGTTAAATGTGCTCTGGAAGTCCCTACAAAAAAATACCAACTCTTTTGAGTTGGGGTCGTTAGATTGGATTTGTCACTACTTCAAATCTATGAATTTCGAGTCAGAACAGACTAACTGGGACACAAAAATGTTTTAGTTTTCCTGCAAAGTGATCTGAAGGAAAGTGGTAATTGAGTTTAAGTTTGAGTATGGAATGTGAACCATCGAACTAAGTAGGTAAAGAGCAGTGATGGTGTTAAATGTGCTCTGGAAGTCCCTTCTAAAAAATACCAATTTTTTTAATTGGGGTCGTTAGATTGGATTTGTCAGTACTGCAAATCTATGAATTTTGAGTCAGAACAGACTAACTGGGACACAAATATTTTTTCCTTATGTTGTCACAAGGGGAAGGTAAAATGAACTCCTTATCAACATTGTGAGTTTATGGAAAATCTTATCAACAGTGACTATAAAAAAAGCATTAAGGGTCAAAAGAGACAAAAAACTATTTGAGTAAAATATAATAAAAATCTGCATTTGAAATGGCCAGTTCTAAGTCTCACTTGAATCAACATCTTTCTGGTAGTGGTAGTCTACATAGTTTTAAAATCCACGACTCCTTTTCCATCAAATTGGACCGTTCCCAAGTAGCACACATCGTTGGCCCAACGTTGGGAAATGGTCGGCACGGTTGGGAAATGGTTGGCAGAAATTTTAACGATTTTCCAACGTTGGCCCAACGGAAACTGGTATTCGTTGGCCCTACAAAGGAAAGAATCGTTGGGCCTTCGTTGGGTATTCGTTGGGTTTAAGTATAAAACATTCTAAAACGAATTTTAACAAATTGATTTATTTAAAAGTACATAAATGGTATGGCAGCAGAATATAAGAAAAATATTGTAAAAATTTGGATCAATAATGAATGTAGAGATGATGATGTGATACTAGATACAGTGGGGAACACCTGCTTAACATATAATAATTATTATAATTATTTTTCTTTATATTCTTTAACTTATTTAAGCAAGTTTTTAATAGTTATAGAGAAAAGATTAATTAATTATATAACAATCAATAATAATAGTAGCCTACTAATTTAATGGTAATTAAATAATCTATATTCAAATACTAGTATCCTCTCCAACTACCAGAAAAACAATTCAACTACTTGAGGCCTAAACAGATTAACAGAATCATATTATGTATACTGTAGCATAAAAAATATTTAAAGTATTAATTGTGACCATTGCACCTGTCGGCTACTCTTTCACCACTTGAAAACACTAATTATCAATAAGCACAGTTAGCTCAGAGGTAAGACGTGAGGCTCACATGTCGAAGGTACTGGGTTCGAGACCTGTCACGGCCAAAAAATTTTATTTCGTTTTATTTTCAAAATAAGTTTTTATTAACTATTTAATCGATTTACTTAACTCATAATTATGCTTTGCATACAAAATCTTTATTATTTTGTGTTTTTTATGTTTATGCCCAATGGGATGGTTGGCCCTTCCGCAAAAATTGGTTGGTTGGCCAACCGTAAGACTGAGTGCCAAAACATACCGTTGGCCAATGATCGACAGAAACGTTGGGCCAACGATTTGCCAACGATTTTTGCTACTTGGGTTACCCTCTAACATTGAACAAAGTATGCCCAACTTTATATATACGACGTAAACACAGCTTTTACTCACAGTATAGGTCAAAGATTCATGGAATGTGACCCACTGCTGATGCGTGATTTACATGTAGGCTAAGTGACTATCTTTATTCCATACAACAAATGTAATTAAAAAAAAAAAACTATGAATAAAGGAATATAGGTACTTGAGCAAATTATCTAAATAGCATAAATAGCTGCTTATTAGGTTATCAGCATTGCCCAGTTCGTATACTATTTATTTTTCAAATGAAACTCGAATTAATATAAAACATTCATTTGGTTAAAATAATATATCGGTTTGATTAACACAAAATAGTTTATACAGGCAAACTATCAGTTCTATTTCATGTAAAAATTAAACAGCCCCTAAATAAAATACAAAGATAAACAGTATTTTTTTTAATTATTATTTCTTTTTTTTCTGACAATATTCCCGTGGCGGAGCACGGGCGGTTAACTAGTAGTAGTTAAAAATGACTCACATGTCAAAACTCGTAGGCCTATTAATAACTTAGTATTTAGTTCGTGCAAACTTCAGAAAAACGGGTACTTTGTTCAGTGAGTTGAAAATAGTTGATTTGGCTGCGATACAAAATATAAACATTCTTAAATGAAAAACAAATAATTGGCAAACAATGGCCAACTGTTGATCATATACCTACTTAAACTATAGCATACCTTGTGTCAAAAATTCTTAAACTAAATAAATTTTTTATGCAAATTCTTGAGTTACCACTTTGCAGCCACAGTAAAAATGCTTTAGAAGAAATTCACTATAATTTTACTCACCAGTCTCCTGTATGTTACAGACATATGATGTTTGGCTCGGAAGGCGACTGCAGCGGTCTACTGACCCTCCACTACGGCAAGCACCATACGTCCCTAGTCTCGGAGATCCGGCAGTGGTTCGACGCAGAGAGCTTCGCAGACGTGAGGCTCCTGTGTCGTGGAGGCACGCTGCTGGCTCACCGACTGGTGCTGGCGAGTGCGAGTCCGCTGCTGTGCAGGATCCTGCAGGACTGCGGTCGAGGCGAGCCCACAGTCACAGTGCAGTTGCCAGACATATCATTCACCAACATGAAGTGCATGCTGGACTTCCTGTACACCGGCCAGGCCTGCGTCAAGGTGAAGGGTTATTTGTCAAAGTATGATTTATTTAGATATCTTGTAAAAAAAAATTTTTGCACGTACATAGTTACAGTGTGAGTCTGTATGTCTTGCTGGGCAGCGAAGTTGAAAGCTACACCAGGGTCCCCACAATCAAAACTTATCGGGACCAAATCCTCCTTGGATTACCAAATTTTTTTGGATCAGCCCAAACTCCAGTAAAATTGGATGAAAACCTAAAATCAATGAATTGTCTAGCTGTAAATTACCACATATTGTTCCTGCGATCACGACAACACTGTGATGGTCTCCTTCAATCGGGATCTTCTTATTACACAATGACCTTAAAGGAGAAACGCTGGGCCATAGGTCAAGTGGGACTCTGGGTGTAATATTATACCAGACTTGATGTACTGTTCAGTTGTTTATTAAGCTTAGTTAAGTTCTGTTTTACCCAAGTGATGAATACTATTGCGGAGGAAAATTGTGGAGTGTGCTGACATGTATTTGACAGAGCAGTTTTTATAGTTTATAGGTCTACATACAAACAATGAAAACCTTTTAGATGTACAACCCGTTCTCTCTAGGACATATAGATATATAGTGGTGGTGTAGAAGAAGTTTAAGAAATTATAGATCATATAATAATTAGTTCATTGATTGTTGTAGCTAGCCCCTGAACTGGTAAGACACGTAAACAGTAGAATATTTTTATTCTTCCTCTTTTTCATCCGAGTTAAAATTAGGCCTAGTTACCTCTTTCTAAAACCATAAGGTTTCAACGCTAATTGCAACTTATTGAAAATATAATATTTCAACAGTTGTCTGTTCCTTGGACGTCAGCAAAGAATTTTCAAATATGTTTGACTTATTTGAACCAGGGTTAACACTAGTTCATTTAAAAAAATGGAGACTGGAATATGTTTGCTTTTAAAATGCCTATGCAAAAAAGCTAAAATATCTTGATCAATAGGGGAGATTAAATTATAACAAGGGAATTTGCCATCCAGTGTACTTATTGTACTTGGTATGGCATGAACTTTTTCAATCTTAACTCAAATCTCATCGGTTTGAAAAAATTGTATTAATGTAATTTTTTTTCAGCCTTCCGAGATCCAAGGAGTTGTTGAGCTGTTCGATCTTCTAGAAATAAAATCAGAGATTTGGGGAGGGAAACCATTGAGCACAGAGCCCCAAGGAAACAGCACGAAAGAATCAGAAGAGAAGACGAGCTGGAACTCCGAATCGAGCGGACAGGAGGAATCTAGTGTTCAAGAAAATGTGGAGCCGAATAGTGCGAAAGAATGTGTTAGTGCGAGTGGTGAAAGTACTAGTCTCTTATGTGTGACTGCGACAGTCAAAACTGAAGTGGAAGTGGACGTAGATGTTTGTTCGGAAGAACCAGTGAATGAAAAAAGAAGAAGAAGGAGTAGTAGTTCCTTATTTCCAGTTAATTTATCCTTAAGTAACCCGGACAATAAAGACCATTCTAATTTAAATTCACCTGTTTCGGATAAAGACTCGAGGGTAGGTATTTTATATTTTATGTAAGTAAAATGTAATCCTGCTTATTTGAATTTAATTCTCAATTATTCAGGTTTATTTACCTTAACACTATTAGGTCAGGCTATATATTTCTAGGTTAATGTGAGATTTCTTGCTTGTAAATACTGATATAGATAGGCATAATTTATTTGACTTTTAATCTAATCAAAAAAGGCTCAAAATAAATTTCTAGCTTTGAACAATACGAAACTTGAGACTTGATCAAAACGGTATTAGAGTTAGCTATATTCTTCTTTAATCGTATCCTCTTTAGCATTGGTAATAATAAAGAAGAGTTAAACACGCGGCATGAAAATAGCATTGCATTCCTTGATGGAATACAACTGGCCAAAACATGGAGCAATCCACAACTGAAAGTTGCCAAACAACAACCCTTTTTAGTTGTTAAATGCTTATGGACTAACTATACCGTAGGCTCTCTCCATCGATGGTAACATCAACCATCAATATACCGGTAACAACGTCTTGAAAATATGAATGTCTCCTGGGCAAAAAGATCAATTAGGCTACTTAATCAATATTTTTTTTTCATTTTGATTTTTTCTGTTTTCTTTCCCAGCTAACTAAGATGTTCTAGATTGGAAGTTTCTCTTTCACATTTGCAATATGAAATATCGGTCTAAAATGGAAGCAGGAGTGCTGCAGCTGGAATTCATTAGGCCTACACATCAATTATTATTAGGCTTACATTGATTTTTGGCAGTATTTAGAACAAGTACCTCAACAGATACTTAGTTATCACACTCTACTCTGTCCAAGACTAGTCCTGTTCGTGATAATTTTAGATTCAATATTTCACCAGCGTTTAAAATTAATTTACAAAAATTTGATTTCTTGTTAAAACCAACATTTAATTTTCATTTAAAACGCCTAGGCCTAATACAATTCAGTTACGGTAAAAGCATTGATATTTTAAAAACATTAAGTTGGGACAAAATCAAAATTTGCACGCTGCACAAAACAAAATGTGCAATAATCCTGCAACTGTAGCAAGTCATTGAGTCAGAGGTGGAGCTTAGTGGTCTTCTCAGCCACAAGACACCAACGTGGATTAAATGTTTGGAATGCTTTCTCACAAATCAGTTCCATTAGTTGTCACCGAGGAGGGACCAGGTGGTAGTTAACTATCCTGGCTATGTGTCAATACTGTTTTTAGTCAGTGTTTTGTTAATGACACAGGTTTCCCGACAAAATGGCTAATTTCATTGGGATGGAGAGAATGAGAATCACTATTTTAGTTACTGAAGTTACTTTTAGTCACAGGCTACTTTTTGGTTTCGGTGTTTCTTAAAGCATCCCTCCTGTCACCAGAGTCCCAGTTTTTTACAAAACTGTTTAGTTGACAGGGTTGCTTAACCATATGGGGTGCATTTCCAATAACTAGTTAGTACCTGTCAAAGTACTTAAACCTTAACAAGTTTACCCCTGTGATTTCTGAAAATGGAATACTAGTGGTAGCCTTCTCTAAGGTGCTCTTGGCCTTGTCAGGTTCCAGGCCCTGAGCAAGGAATCACATCAGCAGAATCTTGCTCTGATCAACCCCAGCATTCAGGAATTGTTTCTCCCCTTAAGTTTCATCAGTTTTTAGGGAGTGATTCTTGCAGAAAGGGTCTTCTTGGCAGGTCCGTTGCACTCCCCTTCTCCAAGTGGTATCTACCTGCATTTCTTGTTGCTGTGCAGTATCTATCCTCAGGAATAGCACCTGGGGAGAGGAGTCAAACCAGACAGAGCATCACATGTTCGGGGAAGGCTGTTTAAGTACCGGTACTGTAAGGCACCTGTTAGGAGTAAAAAAAATTGCAACAGAAAATAGACTCCTTTCAGTCACCTGCTTGACACGGTTCATTCGACAACTTGGTTTCTCCTATGTCCCGGAAACAGAACAAAGGGATAAAGCAACAAGAGTGGTTGAAGATCAAGCATGAGACAGAAATCTAAAAACAAATAATCTATGTATTACTTAGTGGAAGGGAGACAAATCAATAAAAAAAGTCCCTGGTTTAGGCAAGACTGTCAGAGTGGCTAACTGCAGTGGACACACCAAGGTTTATGCATTGAGTTTGTCATTCTCAATGCCCTTTGTTTGCCACACGTTAAGTATAGACTCCTTAATGAACTCGTTGAATGACTTTAATAACTAGAACTAACGCGAGAAGTATCTGTAAAGGTATCAATAACATCCCCAACACGTCTAAGCAAGTTAGCTCAAATCTGACACTGACAATATATTTCTCACTTCATCCACTTAGGCAATTCAACCGTTGGTACGATTAATCTTGTCATAGCAGTTAAAAAACAATGTGAGTAACAGGAAAATGTTATGCGCCTGTCAAATACCGATAGCCAAGGCTCATCACCTTAACTTATAGAAAACTCTTGTGAATTGTCACCTATTGTCAATTCTCTGGTGGGCTAAAATATTTTCTAACAACCTTGTGCATGTTTGGAATCATCTGGGGGCTTTGTAAGGCATATTATACCTGAGCGTGGATCCCACGACGGAACCGTCTGGTGACCGCGCCAACATTGTGTGCAAGTTACACATGACGGGATTCTCGTCGCGTGAAGTCTGTGAATCCTGTCGGGACACTACACAAGGCGGCTCAGACATGTGATCAACATGGTGGATCTCTGTAGTCTAGGTGGGATGTCCAACTCTAGCTTTTTGAACTGCTGAGGAAGAAATGTAAGAAGAGGCGATGGTGGACGCATTCGACTCACCAAAGAAAGGGACATTCCATGTCATGTTTGACCACCTACCTGGAAAAGTTGTTCCATCTTTAGGCCTTTATCTCATGACACAATTAAAATAATCCTTGGTCTTGACATCATACAGTTCAGGCCAAGCTTATATCTCACAATTAAACTTCTCTGTGTAGAACATCTCACCCACCGTGTTGATCCCAATCAACGTAACTCGACAATAGATTTGAAGTGAGCTGCAGCGCGCAGTGACACCGCTTCGTTTAAAATGGCTGAATTGAATTTTTGATGCGGGTTTAACGCGAACGTCAACAACTCCCTGCTCTTGCCTACTGCTGCTTCCATCCAAGTTGTGAATTCTTCTCATGTAGACACACCAATTTAACACAATGGTTCCTTTGGAATGTGGTCCCAACGGGGAAATCACGTTGCAGGTTTCACACTATTATAGATTGGGCTTTAAGGTAACAAAACTAATGATTGAAATTCACAATACCAGCATTTAATAGAAAATCTTTTAATGGGTTAGGCCTACCTGTAATGATATTTATCTGAGTGCTAAATTATATTCTCACAAATTGGATATTTCTGTAAATTGACTTCAACTGAGGTGCCACACTCTTACAGTTCTTCTATTAAACCAGTTTTATTTCATTTTAAGAATCAAAAATATTTGTTACGAAAACTTGCAAAATGAAGAGTATGTGAAGATTAGTGAACCACACGTACATTGACTTACTGTACCAATGAGTTTGCGCTTAGCAGAAACAGAAAATTCTACAGCTTGTATTTCAGGAATATTAATGAGTTTACTCATCAGAAGAAGTCAGGATCTATGTCAGTCTGTATGAAGCAGTTTTTTTTCCAAAATTGTTATGTTGAACCAGAGGCAGGTGAAGTGCCCTTAGCTGTAGCAATTATCAAGGTAATGGTTGTGTTAAAAACTTTGTAACTGTTAGCATCCTCACCACAAAGTAGATAAGGTATTTTTGAGTAAGAAACTATCAACAAGCAAAAGATGAAAAGTTAAATAATCCATATAATTAATACGTCAACACAAAATTTGTCCTTTGAACTCATCCGCCATTTCTCAACCCATTTTGACCATTCACGTCTCATTGGCAGAGCATGTCGCGAAGATTTACAAACTGGCCTTAAATTTTTGAAAAAGTCCCTTGAGCTTTGCCCCAGTGGCTTTTAAAGTTTCAATGTTATCCTTATGAAGAACATATTATTTGTTTACATTATGATCAGCTGGATTTTAATCGCTGTAAATATTTAGGTGCAATCATTGACTATTGGCATAGATAAAACATACTCCCTTAGTAGATTTCTCATCCTTATGGAACAGCTGAAGACAATTTTATTGTTAGTTCTGTACGGTTTTCTGTAGAGGTCGTGTTTTGTTTACAATTTGTTTCCCGTTATTACAGCCATTTAAAACCTCGTTTAACCAAATAATAATATCTAATCATAAACAATAACCTGTACCCTAGTTATATAACCAAACAGAAAAGCACAAATCAAGAAATTAACCCTAAAATAATAGAAACAAAGTTTCGTCGACACTAGCGCCCATGTGTCACGTACATGAACTAGAAAAACGTGCTTCAAAATTTACAATGGGATGAGAAGTCTACTTGTGTTGGTTAGTCTATGCTATTGGATACTGAAGTTGTATTAATAGTCAAAGGTGCAATTCAAGGAAACGGGTGCTACAAACATTAAACTTTACTGACTTGGATAAAATTAAATATTTACTACAGTAGACTCCCTCTTATCCGGACACCTTTTAACCGGACATCGGTTTAACCGGACTACACTTGGCAGAAATGACATCTCTTTAACCGGACAATTTTTATCAGCACATTGGTTTAACCGGACTAGATCGGCAGGAAGTGGGCGGTACTGAAATGACTGTTCACGTGGGAAAGATTTGATCACGTGTCTAAACAATGCACGTTGATACAATGCTCTCCTAAATTTAAGTCGAATATCACAGTAAATAGTTCGATTTAACGAGTTTTTGGGGATGTCGGTTTAACGGGAAAACCTGTTATCCGGACTGGCCTCGGTCCCGAGGAGTCCGGATAAGAGGGAGTCTACTGTATTTGAATTTGGGTTTGGGTACACATTACAATGGGAAAAATTGAGAAAGCCTGGACAATTTTACATATTTCACCAAATTAAAAAAACATGAATTGACACAGTAGGCCTACTGTAGGGTATTTCTTGAGCAATTATTGAAAGAACCGACTAGTAAACTATGGTAACATAGGAAAGTCATAGAACGCCACCAAGTAGAAGAAATAGAGATAATGTTTGTTTAAAGAATTTGATGATTCCTACAAAAGATGAACGAGGATGTTAGTTGAAGTTAGTGTACACTGAACGCAGGAAAGCCAACAAAAGACGCACCTCTTCAGATCATGGGCCCAGCCCTCAGCTCCTTACATGAGCACTGATTGGACAGCAGACTCGAAGCATCGCTACTCTGAGTTTTAGATTTTGATTTTTCTGCCTGCAACCAGTGCTGAGAATTTGCTGCCAATGAGGTGGATCTCGTCAGGAATTTGAGTCTTGCAAACTGTCGTTCCAAAGATCGAATCCTAGGACCTATCCCTGACTGGGACGGTGGCTTCGTCCTGTAATCCAGCTACTAGGAGGTCACAATTTTGTGGATATTTATAGGCATGTGAATGCGATTCTCCCCAGTGTCGATTAACGTCCGCACGGGTGAGTACTACGACTATCCGCAGTACTATCCTGACCAATTCGTAATTACCAAGGCAAAAATGTGGTTCGGATTCGACTATAAACTGTAGGTACCTTAGTTGCCATTAGCTGTATGGGCTATTAATTAACAGCTGTGTCTAAGGAATGTTGGCCTTAGTCACTAACAAGACTACAAGATCGCACCACTCATCCTACACTCATCTCCATTCATACTTGGCTTAAAATACCTACTTTGTATGGTCGCCATTTCATAGAACAGTATTAACAGTATGCAGCCCCAGAAGTAATAGGGATCCGACGCTCACCTACGGTGGTGTCAAAAAGCTTTGAGGAGCTTTAAAATTTATTTATCGTAAAATTCTGCCGTCTGCAATCTCAGCCACTCAACTATCAACTCAGATCAAGGTCAGAGCATTAGGGCGGTAGAGGTAAAATCTCCCATTTGAATGAATGAAGGAGATGTTGCAAATTTTGAAACTGAATGTATGTTTACCGGACAGAAATTTGATTTATTACATTGTTTCCGTACACATATTACATGAAGAAAAATTTCTATCAGTTTATGTTTTTGGTCCACAAAATCCACATTACAGACAGCACCTCACAACTGGCAGGGATTTTCAATTGCAGCTAACTTTTTCCAATTTGAATATTGCAACAATAGGTTGGTAAATAAAACTCTATCTGTGACAGCTGAACAGTCACTGAGGGGGTAAAACCGTCTGTACTTGAAAATGCATTATTGGCGCCCGCTTAGCAGTAGTATGCAGAAAAGAATTACTTTCTGAATAGCCTTTGTATTGTAACCAAAATCAAATTAAAATCAGACTAAAAATAATGGTTTAGCAAGGATAAGTTGTTAATTGACAGAAGCATTCTCCACAAACTAGTCTAACGCTGGGTTGATGAGGTGAATTATGTGTAGGTTTTTATTATATACATTCATTGAACCGGATTCTAGGCAGTTTGTGTATTTTAACACATATTATCCTATTTTAATCCAATTAATAAAATAATTTGGTTTTCCTCAAAGTAATTTTTTGTTTTGGTTACAGTGTACAGATTCTCCAAGAAAAAAATCCTCTTCGCTCACAGAAGCAGGTAGTGGAGAAGAATCTCAACCCGAAGTGACGCTTAAAACCACCGCCCACATCTTTAGCGAACAGTTACATCTCAAAAGAAAAACTCGGTACATGGAAGACTACCGGACACACGTAGAAGACGACGACCCTCGGAAGCTGCCTGATGAGGTCATCAACCAGCCAGCACCGGAGAACTATGTCGTTACGCCACACAGGAAGCGGAGACCAGGCTTCCACAATGCACCTGCACAAAACCCACCTTTTGTCCCGTTCTCACCCTGCTACATCGAAGAGATCTCATACCGACCCAGAAGTAACAACCATCCCTTAAGTTCCTCAGCTCCCCCATACCTCATGGACAACTCGTCCAAGTCCAACCTACACCTGCAGTTGCCAGGCGCTGTGGACGACCTGAAGTATCGTCCGCCCAGTGGAGATGGTCATCCCTCCATGTCCCCACGGTCCAACAGCTACCCCTTCGGAGTGGGCAACGCCTCAGAGGGCTCGTGGGGTCCCTGGGCCATTTGTCAGGCTCAGGTTGGTCAGGCCCCATCTAGGAGTGAGGAACCACCCAACCCAGGTGAGATATACTGCAAACATGATAATCACTTAGGCCCCGGGAACGATACGAGCGGCGCCCTCTGACATTGGGTCTCATTTAGTTGCAAGTTAATTTGTTGAGTGTAGCCACAATACGTATAAGCAGTGGTAAGCAATGCCACTCAAGGTTCCAAATCCATACAGATTTTCGTGAAAACGCCACTCGCCGCTCAGGTTGAAGCTCGACACTGGTATCGTACCCGAGGCCTTACTGTCAAATACTCTTCATTCATAATTTATTTATCACATTACTTTAAGATCTCAACAGTGACTATTGTAATTAAATGAAAACTTAAAAGTAAGAGGCCTACTTTCAATCAAAGTTTCTGTAAAGCGTTGAGAGTGTTGGTAAATTCAGTTTATGGTATCAAAGCACCATCATAAATTCCATTAAACTTTGGTCACATGAAATGGCTAATTTACGAATACACCCTCTTTATTATTATCTTTTGCAAGTATTTATTTTCTTCACACAGGTATAAATTATTTTCTACTTTTTAGTTTGTGTTTAAAACGTAGTATTTTAAAAGGAATTTTTTATTTCTTCCATTCTTCCAAAATGTAAACATTGAAACTTTGGAAGCCCATGGAGCGTAGCGCAAGGGAAATATGAAAATTAAATGATTTAATATTTCATTGTCATCCATTTGTGAAGTATGTTTCAAGTTTCAAGTCTCTTGCTCATCAGGAAATTAGTTTAAAATCAATTGAAAAATTTGTACCGAATAGACAAAAAAGCGAGCTAATAAAAACGTTTAAAAATACATGAACCAGGTCTGGTATATATTAACTATGCTACAGAATGAGCTATATCATAATCTTTTTACACATTTTTATGCCTCTACGATCACTGATGTAATACCACACACACACATTTTTGAAACTTGGGAAACAAAATTTGACTGTAGGTTTTAGCGAATTTCCCATATAGGGAATAAGCTATTACCGTAGTACTCATAGTAAGACCTGGACGCGGAACCGATTTTTTTTTTCGTTTTGAGGTCCCTAGAGGCCAAAAACACCATCCGTTCAAATTCATATATATATATATATACATATATATATTTATATATATATATACATATATATATATATATATATATATATATGTGTGTGTGTGTCTCCGTCAGCACGATAACTCGAGCAAAAATGATCCGATTTTGATGAAATTTGGTACAAACGTGTAAACGTACGTTTATTCGAACGAGTTCGCGATCCAGCATGATCGGACCATGGGAACGAGGGTTTACGGGGGGTTTTATGGGGTAAAAATAGGTTTTTCCCATTTTTGACCCAAAAAACATTTAAAATTCCCATGTTATTCTTATGGAGAATAAGTAAACTGTTGTAGTTTGCTTGTTTGTGAACATATTTTGATCAAATTTGGAAAATGTTTTTATTTCTTACTAACTATTCACATTTTACAAAAAAAACAGTTTTACCCTCCCTGATGCAGCAAACCTAAGTACTTGTTAAACTAATTCTATTTTAATCAAGAATAAATGTTATAAGTAGACATTTCAGTGTAAATCCAATCAGTCAAATGGAAATTCGCTTAGTCTGCAGGTTTGCTGCGGCGGGGGTATTTATTTACTTCATGGTTTTATTTTGTTATCCGGTTTGTTTTAATTTTTACTCTTGGCTGTAGGTGGTGAGGAGATGGAAGCCAGCGGCACGCCGGGCAGCAAGCCAACACCAACACGAGAGTATCGCTGCGAGTACTGCGGCAAACAGTTCGGCATGAGCTGGAACCTCAAGACACACCTCCGCGTCCACACAGGGGAGAAGCCTTTCGCGTGTCGTCTCTGTGTAGCGATGTTCAAGCAGAAAGCGCACTTGTTGAAACACTTGTGTTCCGTACACAGAAACGTGATCTCGGTCGGTGGTGGAAACAGTGATGGAGACACGGGACATTTTAACTGTTGTTTTTGTTCATTGACGTTCGAGTCGTTGCCCGAACTTATACGACACTTGTCAGGTCCTCACAATAATCTTCTCCTTAGTAAAAACCTTCACGATTAATCGGAAGTGTTCACTCAAATTTTCCAACATGACACTTTTCAAAAGGTGAAACCTGAAAATGTTACGATTTAAAGCTTTAGAGTCCATAGATACATGGTATTTAGATCTCAAAGAAAAGTTTAGGTATAGGATTTACTATCTGAGATACCTTTTACACATACTTTCTATAGTACGAGGATATAAAGTAAGTCTGTGGCTCAATTGACTGACTGTGAAACCGAGGTTGTGATGTCTTGGATTTACTTTCCCGTGACATATTTTGAAATTCATCAGTACTTTTCATTCTTGTAGTGTACCAGCCCCACCTCTTGCTTCGCCTATCACATACTGGCCTCTGGGTCTCAGGGCCACTTTAGTAAATGGGCCCGGACCCAGGGCTCAAGAGGTTTTAGGAATGTTAGGGACGTAAGGAAAAGAATCAATCAATCAATTATTTGAGATGAGGACGTCACCTAGGTGCGTATTTTAACCCAAATATGAGTGAAGGATGATTGTAGAATGGTGTGAAATGATCCGTGTAGCTTTGTTACTGACTAAGATCAGCAGGTTCATCAGTCAGGATCATATTGAAAGCCCAATGATCAGGAACAGCTGGGCCTGGTTTTGAACCATCAAAAAGCTACTAACTTTTCGATTGTTAGGCGAACACTTTAGAAAGATTCCCATGCAAGTAAGGGGCACAATTCTTGGAACCATGGCGTGTAACAAGCAAGTCACGGGCCTGCTGGGTCCCATATAAACGGGCAGAAGCTTAAAACAGAAAGAAATAAACCTCTACAGCAATGGTTTTGATTTCTGCAGTCGCATGTGGTTTAGATGAGTACGCAGACTTACTTTTGAATTGTGATAGAATATGCAGTAATCAAATTGTTGAACTTGAATGTTCATTAAACTTAGTAAAAAAAATAGCAACTCTACAACTTAATTATTTTTTCTACTATCTTATGGTAACTAAATTTTTATGTATGACAAACTAAGTAAAAACCGTTAACAAAAAATCAATTAAATGGATATTTAACTATAAGTTATTGAATTGTGATTTTTTTAGGTTTCGATAAAAATACCCTTTGTACAGAATGAACAAAGTGATCTCATGCAATTACCTAATTGTAGATCTCATTATCAAACATGAGAAGTTGTCATTTTGGAAAATTTGGATTCTATTTTGGGCATTCAATAAAACTATCAGAGTAAGTTTATATAATTAGTCATGTGATTTTATATTGTGCTATGTAACTTCCATGGTTTCTTTATTTACTGTGCATCACTTTATAATGTTGATTAACTTTATTCCTTTTTAACCGCACATCACCTTCTAAGTTTAGCACCATCTTTCTTTATGATCAAAGTATTCTGACAATATCTAGGTTTGCATGATTGTGACAATAATAGGAAATAAAGAAATCCTAATTAGTGCCTTAAAAAGACTATTTCACAATTTATATATATCATGATATAAGAGGCAAATATTTTGTCCATGAAAAAATAATACGTCATGTCATCATTGACTTTTGGATACTGAAGTAGACATCCCATCTTTATGAACTAGCTATTGTTTTGTTCAAAAAGAACTTAGTTATATAAATTTTCATCACTCTCTATTTGAAAATAGTCCATTTCCATACAGCTGAGATCTTCGAAAATCGTCAAATTCCATACTGCAAAAACAAATAGTGATCAGCTGATTATTCCTGATATAAACATTAATTTCACTACACAAACAATACTTTGACATCAACAAAGTTACAACTGAAGTTCCCGGTTAGCTTTGGCAGTTTTTTTATGTTCAATCAGCTAAATTTTACACTAAAATTAATTGTAGGTACAGCCGTATTGTGTTTTGATTAGAAAAATGAATAGCCTAGATTACGAAATATCGGATAAAGTTTGATGAAGTAGTTTTTTTCATTGTTATGAGTATCGTTCGATACTCGTCACGAAAGTTCCATTTCGGGGCTCGATAATGTTTCCCATGCTCGTCTTCGACTCGCATGTAAAACACTATCTCGGCCCGAGATGGGTCACTTTCGTGACTAGTAGTGAAATATACTATTACTGAGATTGTTATTGTGACAAAAGATGCAATAGCTTACAAGAAGTCGTCCTAAGAGTTTGATTCGGTAAAAAAGTTGAAGCATCAATACAAAACAATAATTAACATCCACACACTCTACTGTTCAAGTCCATTTTGATTCTATAACTGGCAAAAACTTTATCAAGGTGATGCGATGTCTAGTTCTACCAACACGTTAAAGATCTTAGTCAGTATACTTAATTAGTCTAATAGTTGTAGAATGAAATTACTTTAAGCATATTTTTCTTTCTGCAAATCCAATGATATGTTCTACATAGATGAAACTATCACACATATGTGGCGCTTTATCTTTTTAATAAATACTGCTATATTTTAAATGATTTGCAACCGACACACACATATACTGTCCCACCTATCTCCTCAGTTTGACAATAACTATGTTGTCATCATTTAGATAGGCAATCAAAACTTAATTGTTTGTTGGTTAAATCAAGCTTGAAAAGCATGATAATTGATGTATTAAATTTTAGCAACTAGATTTTTAAATCCGTATGTTTAATTCAGTACTGTAAAGCATTTACGTTTTTCACTATATAGCAATATATAGCCTACTTTAAACTTTTTCTGTGTTTTTTAACTGTTTTAAACTAACAAAGAACTGTGATATTAAAATGTGAAAATATTTATTAAAGTGGAAAAAGTCCTGAATGTCTATCGTTTGTAAATAAATTTACTTGTAAAATAAGTGTGTAGTTGTACAAATACTAGCATTTTTTATGTCGCTAGATTTAGTTTGTATTAGGCCATTTTCACTCTTTTTCATGAAACACATTTTATTTTCTTCCCAAGAGATTTACAAAATATTTTGTGGTTACCAATTAATACATAAACAATTGAAAAACTATGTAGAATCTGTTTAACAATAATAGTATATTAGGTTACTAGCCCGGTAAGTGGTGTTTTACCGTGCGAGCACGACAGTTTTTCGTGCGAGTATGGTAAAGCTTACTGTGCGAGTATTGTACGATACTTGACACCATACTACACGGAAAAATTAGTACATTTTAAACTCATTTTACAATTTATTTAGGACACAACATAAATTGTAATATTTTTATATTTCAGAAAACAAAATATGCCGTTGCAATTAGCTGTTTATTTCACCAGCTGACCAAGTGCAGTAAAATTACATTACATTACTTTTCCGTGTGTAGGCATGGCAAAGGGCAACTTTCTAGCCTATCAATATGGATGGAAAAGTATCAGTTTCTGTGTAGTATGATGTAAACATATTTTTCGTTAAACATATAACCATAGACAAATAGAATAAATAAACACTGTCAAAGGAAGGTTCCGGCGCCCACCGCTAGGAGTGCCATGTAGTTACGGCGCACACTGCTGCAGCTGAGGAGAGCAGGAGCCGTATGCTACCAGCAGACACTGCAGCGGTGTGCGCCGTAACTACAAGACACTCCTAGCGGTGGGCTCCGGGACATATGCTAACCACAGCACTGCTGCCGGTCTATATTCATTCTATTTGTCTATGATATAAGTAAGGGGTAGAGTTAGTCATTGTTGCCTAATTTTGGTGCAAGAAGCAGGAACTCAACTTAAAAAAACCTCCAAATCTTACCTAGGAATGGTACATCTATTTATTCTTAAATTTTTCAAACCACATTTTGACACACCATAAAACAAGTGCTGTAAACATTTCTGACTTTTGGGGAAAAGATCAATTTTTTACGGTACACTGAAAAACTTTTGAAATCAGAAAATTTAACAATTAATTTAACAACTATTAGCATTCATTGCATTGTTGTAAATTTGAAACACATGTTGTATACTTCAGTATAAACTTGTATTTTAACACTGACTGTTAGAAAATGCATACCTAACCTTAAAGTCTGGAATCTTGAAAATGTGTGCTGAAGTTTCTTTAGGATCTGAGGGAGCACTGAAATCGGTTTTAACGTCTACCCCATGAAAAATGAGCGTTTTAAGATCCAGTCAATATTTTTAACGTCCTCGAATTGCTCGGAAAACTTACCAGAAGTGTAAAAGTAGCTTAACTTGTTGTACTTTTATCTGATAAAAAATATTGTATAGCTCTCAATCTTGCTAAGCAAGGTACAGAAGCATCATAAAACAATTATTACTAACCATTAACTTGTTTTTGATTATACAATCCTTTAAGTTGGGCCCTGAATTGAATAACTCTTACTCTAAATACTAACTAACAGAGTAACAGAGCAAAACCCTAGCATTCAGTATACACAAAAGTATGCAAAAATCCCGTTTAACAAGTATTAATATTGTGAATAAGATAATAATTACTCTTCTTTTAAACTTAAAATAAAGGTACAAGAAAAGTTGGCTGCCAAAATTCTACATTGCACTACTACATATCTTATTAATAATGCTTCTACGCTCTTTACACAAAAATAATTGTTTATGTATTTATTGGTAAACTTTTAACTAAATACAATATTTTTTGTAGTCTTATGAAAGTTAATGGATGTTAATCTCTTATTATGATTTTGTATATCTGTTAAGTAATTTGGTCGTTAATATTCTGTAATTTCTATGTTTTAAATCAATGTCAAATCTTTTTTCAAGCATAATTTTAAATTGTGTTATTTCATACAAAAGTGTTATCTTAATAAATGAGATTGTGTACTTACCAGTATTTTAAATTTAATCTAGAACTGGTGAATTAATTTGAGTTATTTCAATAGAAGCAAACACCATAAATGATTTAGAAAATTTTAAATTTCCAAAGATTTGTAAAGAAAAGGCCAGTATAGTTAATATGATGTTACTATAATGATCGCCAACTTAAATATTTTTCAACAGTTTTAGAATTTTACAGATGTCACTGTTTACACAAATTGTATTTTTAAATTGAAAAAGAATGATTGACACTAATAATTTATTGTAATGTAAATAACGTTTAGTCGTAAGTAGGATTTTCATTAAAACTAAGAAATACGAAGTAATTTTGCAAGTACAAAATAATTGTAACGATCATAATACAATGTGTTCATTCTTAGATTAGTTGTCACGTTGTTGCCTTATGTAAATAGATAATAAAGACACACACCCCTACCTCTTGTATATTTTTGCTTTATCCGAGATAGGTTTTGTCAACTTTCTACTCAGGTAAGTGTCTTTCCCCTGTTCCTTTCCTTTACCAAGTATGTTATTGTTTACTTGAGAAAAAGGCGTAATAATATATTACGGAAACTAGCTGTTTACCGGGCAAATCCTACTAAAGTAAACACATTTTGGATGAGTGCTGTCGTGATGTACAATATTTTTTGCCATACTATTCTAAACTATCCTGACAATAAAAAAATTTTTAAATCCGTTATATATTCCCACCAACTAAAGGACTTAACCATCACCACTCATAACTTCTATAAGAAGTTATATTTTCGTTTATTGATTCGTTGACCTATTGCGCACACTAAACACACTAAAATATGTTTTGTAAAAGGACTTGGACATGGGTAAACTATGGAAAATAAACTCACCCCTAAAAATTCTCATAACCCTTGATATAAGAAAACCTGACGAATATTTATAGCCTACCAAATATATTTTCTGATTAGAATGTTTTGATGTCAAATTGTCCCGTTTCTTTTTTTTATCATTGAAAATTAAACTATAGAGTTCAGAAACCAATCTAAATCCCTCATTACATGTTTCAACATGGTCTAAGGAACACCTTAAATCCTGTGCTTGGAGAAGGTTTGCCAATTCTGGTTAAGGGGCATTCTGCTAAGATCCTAAGAAACTTAAGCAAAGCTGTGAGCGTACAACCACATTGATATGTAAAATCAATGAGACACGTGCTATAAGGGTGTGTAACTGTATTAGCTGTCTCAAAAGGTCAGCAACGACTGGACATAAGCAAAGTATGGTATTTTTAATTTGTTTACTTAATTGACAGCATTTATTTGAAAGCAAAAATATATTTCAGAATTTTGTGTCTCAGATAAACACTATGAGTATTCCATTACAAACGCTCATAAAAAAATACACATAAATATTTGTACGAGTCTACATTTTCAATGCTTTCGCATCGACAGTTACTTCGATGGTTCCAATTATGAAAAATTAAATTAGTTAAATTAAATTCTGTATTTTTACTCATAGATATTGGCATGAATTTGCTCTTGGATACATGTAGTGAAAGAATGTTTTGATCCAACCATTGTTTTCATAAGATCATGCATATCCTTATCTCATCGTACCTGGGCCAAGACTTTCCCAGAAGGAAAATGAAGGTATCGTCAGCAAATAAAAACATGTTACCAAACATGGTTAGTTTAGAAATGTTATTTCTATACAGGGTGTCTTGCAACCATATGAACAAACTTTGTCACGTTATTCAGCATGTCAAGAGAAACAAAAAAATGAAAATAACTTGTGTCCTATCTCATTCCGTTTTCAGTCTATCTCTGTATGTATGTGATTTTTACAAAAACAAATCAGCATTCATAACTCCTTTACTGCTTGAGCTACAGCTTTGAAATTCTGTAAAAATGTTTATCTTATATGTTTGTGCAAAATATGAATAAAAACCCTTGAAACGTTTAAAAATGGCGGTTTTACAAAATATGATATGCCAAATTCCATGAAAACCACTAATTTTACAAAATATTTGCAGGGTAGGGTAGGTAAAATCTTGTAAATTCATGCAAATTACAACGATATCTTATAAGCTTTCTTTGGTCACAGAATAACTGAAAAATAAATTGTTTTCTTGCTATACCTTTAGTTTTCTCCATAATGTTTAAACTTATTTACCAACTTATTCTCCATTTAGTTTTTAAACTATATGTTAAAAAGTAGTTTTATCAATTTAACATTGTTTAAATGGAGAAAACTGTAGGTATGGCAGGAAAAAAATTAATTTCTCAGTTATTCTTTGTCCAAACTAATCTTATAAGATATTTTTGTAATCTGCATAAAATTTAGTAAATTTTACATACCTTGCAAATATTTTGTAAAATAACGGTTTTTGTGGAAATTTTGGGATCAAATCTTTATAAAAGCCGCCATTTCAAAACGGTTCAAGAGCTTTTATTCAAATTTTGCACACAAAGAGTGGTCAATAAGATAAACTTATTTACGGAATTTCACCGTTGTAGCTCAAGCAGTAAAGGAGTTAATGTTTTTGTAAAAAACGCATACATACAGATAGACCGAAAGCAGAATAGGATTTCGAAAACGTCCGGGACAAGTTTATAATAGTCGTGTTTTAAAGGAAAATAGTGTGGCTACTTGGTAATTTAACCAAGCCAGCTTTTTTAAGCAAACCAGAAAAGAAGAAGAAGAAGAATTATATCAGCTGGTTTATTATTAAGTTTGTTAATATGTATTGTAATAGTAGTTTACGCAACGATTGCGTTAAGTTAGTCTTTACGACACGAGTAGAAAATTTCTACGAGTGTCGTAAAGACTATTAATGCGAGTTGCGTACACTACTTTACCTACGACAGTTTTTTTAATTACTAACAATCTGGTTTTTAATTACTAACAATCACTACTCATAACTTCTTAGAGAGGTTATGTTTTCGTTTATTGTCAATGCCACTGAAAGTGATGCAACGACTTATTGTATAATCAGCTGATTTCATGTTTTTACTGTAGGCCTACGTGTTTGTAAAACTTCGTTAAATAAAACGTTACCTTTTTCAGGGAATAGGTTCTGCTAGCAGAATTCTTACCATAAATACTGTATAAGGTACAATTAGGAAAATATTGCTTTTTAGTGCTCTCATTTCCATCTCGTCAACTTCACTTTCACTAACTGACATTTTTAAATCAGTTTAATCTACCTCCTTTCTTCCACCAACTTAGGTTAAGAATACGCGAGTATCAACAGGAACAAGTCGGATCTCGAAACATTACAATTTTACTTCTTTTCTCTCAATCCTTGGACCTCATTGGTCCGTTACCCGTGTTGTTATGAGAAAAACTATGCTGTTATGAAACGAAACTATGCTGTTATGAAAGTAAACAGCTAAGTGAAACTCTTCAATTCTAAGAACTTAACTGAAATGGCTACTTTAAAAAACGGTCGTAGGTAAATATAATAATGCAATTCTTTTGTTAATAACACTTTTAATCCACCATATACATCTTTGATAGCTAAAAGAAAACCGAATACCCACGCCGAAGCAAACCTGCAGACTAAGCAAATTTCCATCTGCCTGATTGGATAACACTAAAATGTCTCCTTAAAAATATCACGTTTATTCCCTATTTTTTTTTTTATAGAATTAGTACTAACGAGTACTTAGGTTTGATGCAACAGGTTGGGTAAAAAATTGTTTTTTTATGTTAATAGTTAAGTAAAAAATAAATGCATTTTCCAAATTTGATCAAAATGTTTTTATAAACAAGCAAACTACAACAGTTTACTTATTCTCCACAAGGATAACATACGAATTTTAAATTTACAATTTTTTGAATTTTCTCCGTAACCAACAACGCGTCTCCGCATAACAACGCGTCAATATACTAAATTATTTGTTTCTTTAAGGTCTACAAAATAGTTTGTTTAGAAGTTACTAAATTTTATGTTTTTTTTTTTGTTAAAAATGGGAAAAACCAATAAACACCCCATAAAATAAATATAATGTAATATTTCTAAGGAGATTTTTTAGTAAATCCAATCAGGCAAATGGAAATTCGTTTTGTCTGCCTGTTTGCTGCGGCGGGGTTATTTTACATTTAGTTTCAACCGCTTTTGTAAAGTGCAGTTAACGTTTTTAGTAGTAACTTTATAGGATTAATAAAAAGGGCGATACTGTGATAGTCTAAATTTTCACCTATCATTAGTTTTGTGCCATCATTTTTGACATATTAACAAAAAGGAAATTATTGCCACGTACGTTTTGTTTATACTCAACTCCGATATTTTATGTACTGGATTTTGAAATTGTCGATATCGGTAGTTAATTCTTTGAGAAATGCATAAACAGTGTTTATACCTTAAATTTGTAAAAATACGTTGAATGCAGTTAAACAGGAATAAACAACATTTCTCATATATTTACACAACACCCTGTGTTCTGATGACTGACGTTCCTTTAGATTTTTACAATACTGTATCCAAGTAAGGTTTTGCTTTACCTGATAAATGAACATCTTTATTGTTCCTACGTGGTAACTCATTCGGATAAAGGTAATTCTTGCGACCTAAGGGTATAGAGTAGGCCTTCGAGGATTGTTTTCACAGTCTAAACATAAACAAAAAATACTTGATTATTCGAAACTCTACATTCTTACAGCCGACACTACAACTTAAACCTTCACTTCCCGGAATGTCCAGAGTTCAAGGCCTAGCCAGAGACGTATATCATCCAACGTAGCGGCCCGTAACGTCCAAGGAGGTATCAGACGTACACATTTATTATCTAATGCGCGGCCGCCGCGCCGAACCGGCCTGACCGGACCCGTTAATCCATCGTAGACGATAAACAAGCCTTATTAGCAGCAAACCGTTAGCTCCAGTCGTTGCCCTCGGATGCTGCGATCGAGATCTCAGAACACGTTTGTACCGATCCGCTGGTCACAGTCCATAGCCACCTCAGGAACTGAGGAACATCGTCGCCCTGTACTTACTGCTTACTGCTGCTCTTCTCTTCAACAATCATCAAGATTGCGGAGGTGTCATCTTTCCTCGAATAATTTGTTCCTCATGATTTACGGGTTGTACTTTCCTTAGTGTATGTATTTTCTGCTATAAATTCGTCCAGGTTGTAGTAGGGGAGTTCCAGAAGATAGTTTTTAAGATGGAGAATTTGGTTTTATCTTTATAGTTTTTGAGCCAATTTGGTAGTAAGTTAAATAATGTTATTCCTTTACATGTTGGGGCTCTTTCGGGGGTTCTTATTTATATCGGGGTAGTATTTTTCCTTCTGGTGTTGTGGATTTAATTTCTTTTGATAGGATCTGATTAGTTGATTTGGTTTATTACTTGATTTAGATACAGGAATGTCAATGTTATGGAGATTTTTTAAGAAAGATTATTGCAGTTTTCTTGATAGTGGAGTTTACTTAAGGTTCTTATTGCTTATTTCCGTAATATA